GAATGGATCAAAAACTGAAGTAGTAGTGTTTGGGCCTCCGAGTGTCTGTGAATCTACAATTTATAAATTAGGTTCGATCAAGCCTGAGGTCCACAGTCACGTAAAAAAATCTTGGAGTTACTTTTGACACTGAGTTAAAGTTCGACAAGCAAATAAACTCAGTCGTCAAAAGTGGTTTCTATCAATTAAGGAACATTGCCAAATTGAAGCGTTTTCTTTCTTTTAAAGAGCTGGAAACTGTCATTAATGTTTTTATTATGTCAAGACTGGACTACTGTAACTCTTTGTATTCTGGAGTTTCACAGGCATCAATAGCACGCCTGCAGCTGGTTCAAAATGCAGCTGCTAGGCTTTTAACAAAAAGAAAGGCTTTTTAAAAAAAAAAATTCTAGTATCTCACCAGTATTATCATCTCTTCACTGGCTCCCAGTCCAATTTAGAATTCAATATAAGTTATTGCTACTTGTTTTTAAAAGTTTGAATGGTCTGGCACCGATTTACATCTCTGAGCTTCTTCGCTGGCACACTTCATTGAGGCTAATCAGGTCCGAAAACACATTTCAGCTAGTTGTCCCCAAAACACGGTTGAAATCAAGAGGTGACAGGGCTGTTTCTGCTGCAGCCCCCCGACTGTGGAATGGTCTGCCTTTACATATCAGGTCATGTTCTTCACTTGGTGCTTTTAAGTCTTATCTAAAAAAAATCACCTTCTGTCTCTTGCCTTTGATTGTAATTAATTAATTTTAATCTGTTTTACATATTTTGCTTAATTTTTTTATATAGGTATAGATTTTGTATGCTGGTCGTTTTGTAAAGCACTTTGGTCAACATCTGTTGTTTTTAAATGTGCTCTATAAATAAAGCAAACAAACAAACAAACAAACAAACAAACAAATGTTTTAAGAGGACTCAAAAAACATGACGGACCCTTCTGAGATATGGATGTTTTTTTTGTTTATGTCGTATAACCAGGATATTAAATTAAACGAAAAACAACTCACCTTTTAAAGACCACCAATCACTTACGGCATAATAACACATCCATATCTCAGCAGGGTCCATCATGTTTTTGGGTCCTTTTGAAACATTTCCATTGTGTTACGTGGATATTTGCAAGTGTTGTGACCAAAAATATGTCTGAAATCAGTTTAATGAAGTGCCTTTGTCCAGAGTCACTGCCTTATAAGCAACAAGTCAACAGTATACAAAGCTTTCAGTAACAGTCTTACACCCCGGTCACAGTGAGAGCGTCAAATCAATAAGCGACCAATGTAAAGTGTATGTCTTCCGACGACCTCTGGCTATTCGACTTTTGGTGACTGGGGTGTCAAGTAATGCAACAAAGTTGAGAATCCTCCTCTCAAAGCTGAGAATCCTTCAACTTTATGTAAACGAAGAGTGACATTCGTGAGCGACAGCTAATATAAGCATCAGTTGAACTCACATGATCCTCTCTCAGCTTCTGTAGCAGCAGATTGTATCTCCATACTGTAGACCTACTCAGACCAGCAGATAGACAGCCGCAATGACAGAGAACACACTTTTTTTTGTTCCTCTTTGTAATTAAGCATTTAATGTACTGGTTTCATTTATATTTACAGTTTTTCCTAAACAATGTTTATCTTCAGCTGAACGTACACTCTTTCGCTCTCGATGAACATCATCATAAACGTTACATTCGCAGCTTCAAGGTGGGAATGCCCACTAGTGACTTCAATCCGCTTGTTAAGTGGTGACGTGTTTGTGACGTATGTATACTGTTTCTGGGTCCAAGCAGCCATTCATTTGAGTGGAGAAATCATTTGTTTATGATCACGTTTTATTCCTATCACACATTAAAGTTAATTTTATATAAAATCATAGTGTACACAACAATCTCTGGGCTTACTACATAACAAATATCAAAAAATTAACAATTTATAAAAAATTAATCACTTTCTGGCCATCGGATATCAGGCAATGGACATATATACTGCGATCGTGATTTTCGAAAGCATTAAATCGCTTTGTAAACGTTTATTATTACCATTTCATGAGTCTCCCCATTCAGTTGAATAGAGCGCTTGGACCCGGTTGCCGCTTTGCGTGACGTCACACTTAACAAGCGGATCACCACCCAGGGAGCTAGTAAATTTTGAATATTATTTATTTTATTTATCAAGTTGCCATGTATTTTTCATTCACATTAATTCTGACCAATCAAAATTCAGTTTAACAAATTTGTTCAGCAACACATCTAGCCAATTAGTAAAGTGTATGTTGTAAAATGGCTAAAAATGATAAAATTGCTTTGCCCTCTAAACAAACCAGCAACTTTAGAATGAAATAAACTATAAACTCATTGTGCATCCACAAACGAAGACTGAATGCATCCATTAAAAAATGGTGTGTATTTAATGCATTTGGAGGACGAGGAATGTCTCAAAGGCTCTAGTGTTGCTCTTCGAGATCCTCATCAGGATGCATTGACGGTTGGGTCGTGCTGTTGCAAGAGCTTGGCAGTTTTCCCTCCATCTGCCAGAGACGCTCCACATCAGCACTGAGACATGAGCAGGATATGACATTCATCAATCATTTGTGATGTTCTTCTCTGCATTTAAACAAACAGAGCATATGTCGGCCCATCATAATCCTGCTGTGACTTTGGCCAATGCCGTCCAGTTAAACGGAGCTGCTATTTATATTTAATCACCATCCTGATGCCAGCGGGCTACTTTAATATACATCTTTCTGAGAAGAGTGGAGTCTGGTGTCTTCTCATGCTCTTGATGGACGTCTCAAGCTTGGATTTTCTTTATTCTGCTTTGGTTTGATCTCATGCGCTCCTGTCCTGTATGCAGAAACCGTCTGATGAAACCTTCATCTTCCAGTTTCTGCTTTCCATAATGTAGGTTGAAAATTAATTCTACCTGCTGTTTGAATTTATGAATAACTCAGAGGAAAGTGAACAGTAAGCCTAGGAAGCACTTGTAATTCAGACACATTTTACTGCATGTTTTTTCGAGAATATTGCAGCTGCGTAATTTATATGATGTCCAGGTCTCTTCACAGCTTTTGGAGGTCTGATTTTTGTCTACTAATTCAAACAAAACACACACACACAACCCACAAATGAAATTGCTGGTGTGCCTTTGAATCTACAGCATTTTGAAAATGCTTAGGGTCACGAAACACCAAAACACATTTTTTGGGCAGTCGGATATGTGTCCCACACTGCTAAAAGCACTACTAGGACACCTATATTTCACTAAAAAGTGTAAATTGGTTGTTTTTGCGTTATTTCAAGCAAATTCGTACTTCCGGTTTGAAACTAATTTTTGAAGCTGCGTCACGGCCATGACATAATAGCGTTGTATTCCAGCGTGCAGACTGGGTGTCTGTGCCAGAGTGTGTCTTATTACGTCTTACAGTGTGATGCATTAATGCATGAGTTAGGCTTGGTTCAAACCAATTAGCGCTCTATTGTGCAACTTCATTAATATTCATTACTGTCATAGTGTTTAGACGGCAGAGACGCCATGTTGTGTTGGCAAAACAAGCGTGAAGTGTTGCTTTTATAGTTTGCTGTAGTTAAGTTTTGTTTTCATTTTCTCTCTGTGAGAGCTCAGACTCACGTGTGGATTAACAGTGTACGCAAAGCTCAACAACAATAACTTACGTGTCTAAGGAGGATTATTATTTACCTAAAAGCTGTTCTCATCTGCAAACGCTGAAATCCGGATTCGCTTTTAGTCTCCTCTTAATAAAGACGCGGCTCTAGTTGCTGGTGATTGTCCTGTCTTCACAGATTTGGTAAGTAAGCGACCAGCGCTCTTTGTTTATTGAGTTTGTTCGTATCAAACTAAGTTAACCATTGCACCGAGTGTAAACATGTTAGCACCACAACCAAACTTTAACCTCATGTAGGGTTTTTTTTACTGCATTTTGTGACCGGAATAACACACACGGCTTTCTGACGCTACCTGCCGTGTGCATCTAAGTTTCTGGGAAATGCGGAGGGTTTTTTTTCTCTCATTCGCCGTGCGGTATCAAACATTGCATGAAAAATACACGCTTACAGCAGTTCCTCGAATCAAATATCTCGTTTGTCGCGAGAGGCATGAATGAATTCCCTGAATGAAAGAGCCAAGCTGCAGTTAAAGTCCACCATTTAATAATTTGGCAAATAATTCGACTACAGATGTCCATGTAGGTTAAACACCATCACTTTCTACTGTGTGTGTGTGTGTGTGTGTGTGTATTTTGACTCTGAAACTCGCGCGTGCCCAAATAGACACTCCCACATCCTCCCACTTTAGTTCCTCCGACACTCCCCCCTAAACAGAGCTGGACACGCCCACTTTTCTGACTTTTTCCAAAGTAGAGGTGTGAAAACACCCTGCTGAAACGAGGGGGTTTCATGGCCCTTTAAAGGCGACCAATTTAGCAAAAAGCACATCTATAAGGGGTTTAAACACAGTTGTGGGGCAGCAGTGTGTGAATTCAGCCAGCCTCTAATGGTAAAAAATAATTAATTATATTTTTTTATAATCACACTTCATAAAAACAGTCTGCAGAAACACGCATTCTTCCTTTGTAAGTGTAATCAGAGGAGGACAGTCCACCCATTAGTGATAATAATTAATAATTAAAGCTGCAAGCAGTGTTCATAGGGACCTCGCACCCAGGGCTCACCGCCGCCTGGTGGCCTCAGGATGACAGAGAACAGCAAACAACATTAATTTAAGTCGATATATATAAATAACCTGAGAAAATCACAGATTCCTCCTGTCAGTAGGTGGCGCTATAACTGTGACTCAAGATTGGCATGTAGATGCCTTCAGTAGAGGAATCTTATCAACTATGTGAATTTTTTTGTTAAAAAAAGGACATGATAGGTCCCCTTTAAAGATGTCAAGCACTGGTTGAGTAATACAATTGCAAAAAATGATTGATTATAATCCTGAAACATGAATAATCTTCCGACATCAGCGCTGAATAAAATGCGAGTAAGTCGTTGGTAAAATTCTGAATGATATTTATTATACCTTCATAGATAAATAGAACAGCCTATTATCTGCCGACTGCACTATCAGGCAATATGTATGTTTGTAGTAAAAAAACAAAACAAAATGTTTAACATAGTACTAATGGATCTGCTGATTATCATGATAACACTGATAAGAATATTTTATCATTCTTAAACATCACCTTTACATACGGTGGTCTTGTTTGTGCTTTGATATGAAGTTTGCGACATTAACAAATACGTCTCAGCAAGTACAGAGTTCAAATAAACAATAATTGTTCAATGCACAGATCAATTCCCATTAACTGAATCCAAATAAAGACGAGATTAACAGTCTCACGTGAACCGACACACGTACATACATGCACACATACACACACACAACTATAATACTTAGCGTTTGTGACTGTCGTTTCGTACGGGCGGTCTGGTTCACCTAGAGATACAAACTATTTGGTTTGTTACATTCCTGATTTTTAGAAACACTTCTGGAAACTGACCAGCAAATGATGAAAGATTCGTCACACACATTCACACCTTCAAGCACACATAAACAATCATGTATTCATACAGTAGCCTTAAAAGTATTTGGACAGGATATGCACTTACAAATGTTTCAAAATGAATTTCTATAAAACAAAATGAAAATTAAACAAATATGACACAGAAAAATCACTTAAACAGGGACTATTTCTGATTTTCTGTCCACACAAACAGGTATTTTTAAAACAGCCTTTTCAATGCGGTTTAGCCGCTTGTCCACATGTAAACGAGTTAATATTTTCACAAACATTGGTTCCGTGTGCGTCATTTTGTCCTTTGTTTGACATCAGATTATGGGCCGCTACTTTTTAAGGCCTCTGATTGGCCAATATGGCTTTATGCTTAAAGTTATATCGCCACCTGTTGGTTTGGCATGTGCATTGCATCATAGCATGTTTTAGCGTTTTCATGTGGACAGAGATTTATTTTTAAACAAAGAAGGGGAACAACTGTATAAAAAAATACTTGTGTATTTGTGTCGATGGTTTCAGACCAAAAAAAAAAAAAAAACATTCTTAGTAAAGAGAAATCACATAATTGAATATTTCACACATTTTTCATAGTAATTTAAGTGTCCAAAATAAAATATTTTAAGGCCACTGTATGTATATTTGTAAACCTCTCATTCACATCTTGTTTGTTAAATTTACTAATTATACAACAGTCTAATGCTGCGTTCACACCAGACACAGAAGTGTCAAACCCGAGTGATTTAAGTCAATGCAAAGACTCGAATAGACATCCTGCAGTGCGTTTTGCATGAATAAGGTGACACTAATGACGGCATTCGCACAAATGAAGCACCGTGAGTTGAATGTTTTGCTCTTGAGTTGGAAAATCTAAACGTCGGCGGACATTCGTGTCGCGGTAACCAATCAGGAGCTTGCTCTTGTAGTGGCGTGACTATGACATATGGCCTGTTGTTGGTGGGGCGGGGGGGATCAAACTGGGCTCGGCTCAGTCGGCATAATTTCTGGACGAGTGCACCCTTAGAATGGATCTAGTGGACTCAGGCACGGCTCCAAACAAATCAACGCAGTTTTTCCGTCATCCTAAAGCACATAAACACAGCTATTCTCTTGATAAATTTCATGTTAGCCATTTAGCAACGAAGCTAGAGTCACCGGGCAGACAGAAGCCGTGCCCATGACGTGAATCTGTGTCGGTTGTGAAGTGAATTTGACATGCGAATGAAGCGGATTTGACGTGCGAATGAAGCGAGTAAACTCAAAATGTTCACGCATCTATTTTTGCACAAATACCACAATTTATCCGCACATACCGCGACTGATGTTAACACAGCATAATTCTAAACTTAAAATAATAATTATAATAACAATCATTTTTGGCATTTTTTTTTAGATGTGAATTTATACGTCGTTTATTTCTTTCTGAACTCTCGTATCGTTGTAGAGTTTTTATCTCAGCAAGGACATCAAATCTTTCTCTTACACACACAATCACACGTATAAACAAACAAACAAAAAAAGAATACACCATCTTCCAACACCTGTATATAATTGAGGCAAACTTGGCGGTAATAATAATAATGAAGTCTAAATAAAACTAAAAAAACATGCACAGGACGACCAGCATGCATTTACAAGATGAGACTTGTTAACACAATGTCGTATGGGACCTGAACCCTCCAGAATCCCGAAACCCCCGCACGGCGGGAGTTACATTCTCACCAAATACACTGTTGATCCAGCAGATGGGGCTAATGAGGCTACATACAGTGAGTAAGCGCTATATTTATCTACTGACCTACGTAAGCCACTGGTCTTTAAGACAGTTTCGAGCCGTCGCTATGTACAGAAAAAGGCATCGGTGTCCAGCTGCAAGAAGCTATTCGATGTCCCAGTCCCATTATTTATAATTTGGCATGGGGGAATCCTCGTTCCCACATTTACGAAGCTTCAAGGAGTTTCATTTTTGAGGCAGTATTTCCTTTAAAAGTTCAGAAAACGTTGAAAGTTTTTGCACACTTCCATTGGGTGAATGTGAACATGTACTTGGTTTGATTGGTAGCGTTCCTTTGACGTCTGGGTTTAATCGCAGATCCAGAGGTTGTTCGGTAATGTCCGGTTGGGAATGGGGTCGGCTTTGGTTGTTCTCTGGATGTTCGCACTTGCGTTACGCTCAGCAGGTGAAGTCCTCGAAGTTGCCCTGGCCCGGATGGTGAGGTAGCATGTTGGCTGGGTAGGTCGACGGAGTGCGAAGGTTGTCACACGGAGCCTGAAGAGAAAAAATATTACAGGTCAAATTAAATCAAAACTAGCCGTATTGATTTCGTTAGCTCACATTGCTAGTTTTGTGGTGAGGAATTCATCCGTGCATGTCATTAAAAAAAAAGTTTGCTCTTGTAATCTTCAATTGAAATCTAAAAATGCACAGATTTTACGTATGTTTTTAGGTATTGAGTGTAGCTAACATACTTATCTTTGCCCCTTCAACTGTCAGTTTTGACAACAAACAGAAATAGTGAGGAAGAGGAGTCTGTTAGGTTGTAATAAATAACTCTTCTAAAACCCATTTGCTCATTTTTCTGGTTGAAATGTCTACTTTACTACATTCATTCAGTTCTCAGCAGAAAAAACAACCCACTGTTTTCTCATTTATTATTCCGTTTCTCTAGGAAATGCATCACAATACAAAAAAAATAAATAAATAAAAATTGTCGAGCTTCCAGTTCATTTGGACTTTATCAAGTCAAGTTGAGCTTTATTGTCATTTCACTACATGTGGACAAAGTGGAATGAAATTTCGGAACCACTGATTACGCTCCAAAAATAAACAATTATAGATGTAAGAACTATTTTAAACCTGTACATAGTAACATACTAGAGCACTAATGTAAATATGTTAAATATACATGTATTAAAAGTGCTCAACTAAACACCTTCACTGTAAAAAAAAAAAACATCTTGCTGCCTTACATTTTGTAGTTAAATCAAATTACTTTTCTAAACATCTCAACTTACATCAAACAAACTGACTAAAAATATAAAGTTAAACTTTGTATAACTTAAAAAAAAAGTTGAAACCAGATTAAGCAACATAGAATTATTTGCCATCTTGACTTTGTCGATACAAGTATAGACAAGTTTTTGTCTATATTAGACAGACTATAAAAGTACTTTTACTTTTTACTTTTACTTTTTAATCATTAATTATGCCTACTAATTACTTGTTAACAGTCAATCTAAACGTTATTAAACTCTATTTGGATCTAGTGGGGGAGTATAAATAATTTATGTAAGTGAGGAAAGTAAAATAAGCTGTGAGAGATTACACACAAATATTCTTCATAGAGTGGACTAAAAACTACAGGAAGTCAAGAATCTGCTGCGTCGAGCCTGGAAAATATTTCATAAGTTCAGAATTAAAGAATCTAATTTACAGAAGAGACTACAGATTGAAATTAAAGACCAATAATGTACTGATAGTTGTGTAGATTATTAACAGTTGCCTAGATTATATTTTGGTTGATTGAAATCTAATTTCACACTGTACCTTTTTAACATAAGTTACCTTGACTCTGATCAGTCAGTCAGGCATGTCATTCCAAGATAACAACTACTGAAACTAATAACTAAACTAAAACTAAATAATTTATACATTTTGTGGCAGGTAGCAGTGTAAAAATTACTCTGATGAATTACACCCAGGTGGAGTTTTTCACAGAATAAAAACTGATTGGCTTGAATTTGTTCTAACTCTTAAGTTTTGGTCATATTTTATTACCATTTTCTAAAGTATAGAGAATAAACCGGATAATGTGAGAAATGTTGAAGGTGTCTGACAATGTTTGCTTTGACTGTATTTATATGGTAGTAGTATGTGAAAGCCTACACATTATGCAAATAGTTCATCATCAATTTTGTGTGAATCAAAGCAGAGATTTACAGTTCCCAACGCAGTTAAAATATTTTTGGTTCATCATAATCCAATTTTACATTGTACCTTTCTTGAAGTTATCTTGTTTCTGATTGGTCAGTTGCAACATTCCCAGGAATGTTATTCTGAAATAACAACCGCTGAACTAATAACTAACCAAAAACTAAACCATTTTTACGTTTGTAAAAAAAAAAAAAAAAAAAAAGACTGAATTTTGGTTTGTCCAATGTTGGATCTAACAATGTGTTATAACACATTTGAGCTGTTTTGATCAAGTTAATTACTTGTGATAAAAGCATCTGGCTAAATTTATTAATTTTACGCTTAATCACAGGGAAAAAATGCAATCATAGATATTCACAAAAATTTTAATGGGCAATTTTAAACAAATGGTGTGTGATTTTTTTTCCTACAGATCCTATTTCGCCAGTATCTACATATAAATACAGTACAAAGAAAAAAAATGCTGTAATTCACCTAATTATTGTTTCCAAAGTTTATTTTAAAATACATTTCTAGTGGCCAGACTCCCTTATTATGTATACAGTAGGAGAAAAAAAAATAAACAAATGTGTGTCAGTGATCCTAAAATGACTTTTATTTTGACTTTTAATTTAAAGTATAATGAGATCAGTATCATCTATCGAACTGAATCATGATGTGTGTAATGTTACACCTCTAGTCCAATCAAACAGTGATAGAAGATAGTTGATTCTGCATAACATGGCTGATATGACTTCCAGTTCAATTCTCACTCTGTCAATGAAAGTATAATGGAATAAGATGTGTTTTATTCATCTGGATCTCATGCTGTATTCTCTATTATATCTTTAAATAATGTATTCACTTAAAAACTGCATGCTATGCTCAACACACACACACACACGGAATACTGTGGGAATAGTGTGAGTAGTATGCAGTGTGAGTTGAAGAGTCAGCAGTGATGTTAGTGTGATGTTTACTGACGTGGCGCTTCACGTCGTCCAGACTGAGAACGGCTCCTCGCTCGTTGTTGTTGCTTCGTTGGTGTTTCTTCTTGGCGCAGCGACAGAGTTTGAACTTGATCACCTGCGAAGAGAGCAAACACACCAGCACATATTACACACTGTTCAGTTCGCACTATCAAATCCGCTGCGGATGGTCAGGGAGAGAGTAGTGGATCAAACGTGAATGTTCCTGACAGTTTCACTTGGGGGGTAAACAACTGTAGAAGGACGAGTAACAGAACAGTGAACCTACAAAAAACAACACAAAAAGCATACATTCATATGGATTTATAACCAGAGCTGGGTGGATTACTTATGCATTGTAATCAGTTAGCTACTAATTACACATTACAAAATTTGCAGTCAGTAATATAATCTCTTACGGTGCTTTCACTCTTGCACTTTTGGTCCGCACTCAGGTTTGTTTGATGTCAAAGTATGGGAGGATTAGCTAGTGTGAACACTCTTGTAAACTCGGGTGTGCACCTGTGCTTATCACCTTCTGCATATATCACGTGATGTTCAGAACGTTTTCAATATTTTTTGCGATAGACAAAAGTCGTTCCCTGTATGTTACCAAAATCAAAAGATTCAGTAAAAGCAGAGGAAACGTGATGTGTGGAGTTCTCTCCCAAGACTGCTGCCCTCGCAACCCGGCCTCAGAAAAGTGGATGGAAATGAGATAAGATATAAATTTGTAGACTCAATTAATTGTGAACCACTTACTGCCATTGTTTATTTATGTTATCTATAAAAAGTAATCGTAGTTTGATAACGAGTATTCCGAAAAGTAGTTTACTCTGATAACAAGTACTTGATTTTTTTTTTTATTCATTTATTTTTCTTCAGCTTAGTCCCTGATTTATTAGGTGTTGCCACAGTGGAATAAACCACCAACTATTCTGGCATATGTTTTATGCAGCGGATGCAACGCAGTACTGGAAAACACCCATACACTCATTTACACACACACTCATTTACTACAGCCAATTTAGTTCATCAGTTCACCTATAGAGCATGTCTTTGGACTGTGGAGGAAACCGGAGCACCCGGAGGAAACCCACGCCAACATGGGGAGAACATGCAAACTCCACACGGAAATGCCAACTGGCCTATCCAGGACTTGAACCAGCAAACTTTTTGCTGTGAGGTGACAAACCACTGAGCCACCGTGCCACCCTGATTTTTGTAATCTGTTTGCATCCATATTACATATAATTTGTTACTAACCAGCATTTGTTTATAGCATACAAATATGCTAATATCTGAAAAAAAAAACATCTAATGTTGAGATTAATCTGACATGAATGCATGTGAATACAAAAGTATGTTTGTTGATGTTAGAGCAGCCTAGTCCTATTTGCATTGTAGTCCCAGAATAAAGCACACTTTCAAAATCCACATTATGCAGGAACTCTAATCTTCTTTTCAGGAGTCAAGATAGAAACAATATTAAAATCACAGATCTGAACTTGTAACTGGGGCATTTTCCCTCTTTCCCTTGAGGACCTCCTGACACACACAACAACATGATGGATGGATGATGCATTGTTTGTCACTGGCTTTCGGCTGTCATGTACCAGAAGTCGGCTTAAACCAGCCAGATTACACTAACACGAGTCCTGGAACTGACAGTATTTGTGCCTCATTTCCTGCATACGACGCCAGTCTCCACCTGCCATTTCTGACAGGCTGTCTTCCATCTGTGGCTTAATGTCACTGGAAATACTCTGCGCCGGCTGTCGAGTCTTACCCAGACTCAAGGGACTTTTCACGTAACTTGTCAATTTATCAGAACTGTACAGTGCATCACTAGATTTACTTAGATTTCCATAGGAATGGTGTTGGTATAGGAATCCTATCTGAAATATCTAGAAGATAAATCAATACAAACGATGTGAATATATCAATAACGGCTTGTTTTTTCGTGCAAAATGTTTTATTGCTTCAGAAAACTTACAAAGGCCTCAGTCCCTACATTGTAAAAAAAAAATAATAAGAATACATTTTTTTGTCATGAAAGCTGAGTCAACTTAATGAAGTTAAAAATACTTGCAATTTTAAAATTTGAGACAACCATATTTTCTTTTACAGTGAACCTTTAAAGGGTTTGTACATACACATTTTGAAATCAAAATTACAATCTAAGTTGGTGTTTTGGTCAAAAGCAAATTTGCATGTTTCACTTTTTTCTATCTCTTTAAAAAAAAAAAAAAAACACACACCCAAAGATTCTCCACTATAGCAATGATGATTTTAAAATCGCTTGTTCATCCCGAACATGAAAATTTACTCTTTAAAAACTCTCCAAGCCTTTAAGATATTATTTTTTGGTTGAACATGAAACTAGATATTTTGTGTTCATTGTTATTGTATTTTTAGAAACATTATTTTGTTTTTTCTTCCTTGAAAAATGAAATTAAAAAAGCATGAAAACTAAATATTTTGTAAAAAGTTGGAAACTTAGCCACTGACATCAACAAATGAGGAAAAAATGGAAGTAAATTGTTACCATTTTCCTGTCTTGATCATTAGTGATCCAAGCTTGCAGATCACTGGTTAATATGACTATATATACACCACACTTGCACACACACATTGCTGAGTCTTGTTATTGTAACACCACAAAGTATTTTTTTGTCTTGCCATGTTTTAAACCCTTTGCCTTGTTTTATTGTTTTCATTGTTTTGGCCACCTGTCCCGACCATTCACTGTCCTGACCATTGTTTTTGGCTCTGTATTTTTGGACTACCTGTATTTACTCGATTGCGCCTGCCTGAACATTCTCTGTTTAATTAATAGTGCACGTGGATCCTCAACTTCGTTGTCCACCATCCTACGGTTACAATTCCAACATTTGTCAAAGTATCATGTTTAAAGAAACAATGTTTGAAGGAAGTGGAGGAAGAGTAAAATATTTTTTTTGGGATGAATTATCCCTTTAAATATTACTACTACATTCATTTTCAACAATAATGTAAACATTCAGCTAAAAATTTCTGCGTTCTGCTGAGGAAAATCCATCCAGGTTTGCAACAGCATTCAGTTAAGTAAACAATGAGTTTTGAGTGCACTCTCCCTTTCACATTCAATTCTCCTTCTTATCTTTCAGCAAAACCCCCCCACCAGTGCTTTAGTTTTCCAGGCTCATGTGAATCTGTACAGCGCAGAGGTGCAAGTCAGCACATCCAGCAAAAGGCCATATGATCTGTTATCAATCTCTGCCACATGGAGATACCCAAGAATCGCCTGAGACCACACACACAAGAAAAATAGCTCACATGCACCAACCTTTATTTCCATTACAGTCACATGTTGACTGCATTTCATAGAGGAGGTTCCTGCCAAATTAGGGGCCATTTACATGACAGCGTTTTCAGCCAAAACTTAAGACTTTATGCATTTTGCATGTTTGTTTACATGACAGAAAACATAAAACTAAAAATGAGTTGCTAACTAGAAATTTTTACTTAAGTATTGATTACTTTCTAACTTCCATATGTGGAATGGCACTCCCTGGGGCACAGAAAAACAATCTCACATTCGGGACCCTGTACTGCTCAAAGGGATAACATTATGCGAAATCATGAACACTCTGATGATTTATGACTCATGACACACAGGCATTTTCCTTTATTTTCAACATACTGAATCAACTTATGGTCAGCCATATGATAAACAACCGTCACAAGTAAAACATAAACATTAAGAAGAAGGAGAATATTGCGATATTTGTTACGCCACATCGCCCACTCAAGCGTGTAATACTTGTGGAGAAAAATGACTGGATATCAATCATCGTCAACAGAAGATCAGAGGACAATATCCTTAGCAGACGTTGGGTTGATTAAGATGCTAATGACAGAGCGTCTGCATGCACGACACAATCATTTCTCCCTAATGCCTGCAGCATTGCGTCTGCCAACAACACTGAGTCGTCTTCTTTGAATATGCTTCCAGCCCCTTGCTTACTTGCTGAGCTGCACGTCATCACATCCAATGACTATTTCCCCCAATCGAAGCATAATTCCACCATTCGCCTTCAGGGTATTGATATCTCGTGAGCAATCACAGTTTTGAGCTGAAATAATAAGATATTTACTCTGGCTTCACTCAGATTCTGATTGAGGCAAAGGGTCTAGAGTGGATGAAAGCTTCAGCTTTTTTTGTGTGAAGGTCATGTTATGAGAGGAATGAGAATATGTGCCATTTCGAGAGAATTTTCCAACACAGTAATCATCACTGGAGGGTTTAATATTTAAATAGGAAAAGTAAATAACGGGTGCATGTTTGGGTCACTTGCAGTCTTGAGCTGGTTTACATGCACACCAAGATGCTGATTCATTCATTCATTCTCCTTCGGCTTAGTCTCTTTATTCATTAAGGATTGCTACAGCGGAATGATCCACCAACTTATCCAGCATATGTATTACGCAGCGGATGCTTTTCCAGCTGCAACCCATTACTGGAAAACATCCACACACTCATTTACACACACTTGGCCAATTTAGTTTATTCAATTAAATAATTCAATTAAATAAATAATTAAATTAAATAATTAATTAAATAATTTAGTTTATTATAGCGCATGTGTTTGGACTGTAAGGGAAATTGAAACACCTGGAAGAAACCCGACAACACGGGGAGACACTCATTTACACACACACACTTGGCCAATTTAGTTTATTCAATTAAATAATTAAATTAAATATTTAAATAATTTAGTTTATTATAGCGCATGTGTTTGGACTGTAAGGGAAATCAAAGCACCTGGAAGAAACCCACGACAACACGGGGAGAACATGCAAACTCCACACAAATGCCAACTGACCCAGCCGACCTTGCTTGCCACTGTGTCGTCCTAAGATGCTAATAATTCTCAAAACAAAAGTACTGAAATAACCTGTTGGCCTGGTATCCATGCAAACAAACAATGCAAGTAAATCTCATTTACAAGACTCCTGGTAGTGATATCAAAACATTGTAGCTTGCATATTTAACATTGATTATTTATTTATTTATTTTCATAATTTATTGATGGATTTTATGGCAATTACAATAAAAAAGACAAAAAAAAAACAATTATACATTTAAAAAGTATAGATCATATCATCTTAAGTTCATACAATACAATAAATGTAAAAAAAACATACCAACAAATAAAAAGATAAATAATGCGACTTAACAAAAACTACAATTGTACAATCTGTATCACACAATACACTACTTTGAACTTGGGGAAAAAATGAACCAATTTGCTGGGACATGGACTTGGTCTATATTTGTTATAGACCAAATTTTCTTTGTTACCGGTTAAACTTTGTAAACTGGTTAGATTAATCTCTAGACAGTAAATTTTTTTCAACTTTAGAAAGAAGAGGACATCACATCACAGAGGACATCACAGATCCACTGTGTTGGGGTTGGAGGTTTCTGATCCTTTCACCTAACCCAGGGGTCGGAAACCTTTTTTTTTTCTTCTTTTTTAGCAAAGAGCTAATTAGCAAATGCATTTTTTTGAAGAGCCATTTGATTATATATATATATATATATATATATATATATATATATATATATATATATATATATATATCAAAATGCCTTTTTAAAAATGCATTTGCTACTGTATTACTATAAATTACTAAAAAAACGAATACAATATTATATATAAATAATACGGGTTTAAACAAAACCTTAAATTATGTCCATACAGCTCAAAAATAAACAAATATGAAGCATAACATGTTGAGCAAGTCCATAAATGAAGAAGAATTTATAGTATTTTTATTTTCGGAAATAGGAAACTGACTTTTAGTGATGGTTATACATTTTGAAACAGTAAAATAATATTGAAGGAAAACAGCTAGAGAGCCACATACTTTTGGTCAAAGAGCCACATGTGGCTCGAGAGCCATAGGTTCCCTACCACTGACCTAAGCAATAGTAGTTGTAGTTTAGCCAGGAGCAAGATAAATGCTATGCAATTAGATTGCATCTTTGTAGGATTATATGATTTATTTATTAAATTAAAAGCACATAAGCAACTCAGGGTGGGCTAGAAATACGTTTTGAACTGTTACAAGATTAAAGTAACAATGAAATTAAAATGAAGGGTATAGTAGTGCTTGTTATAAATGAAGGATCCGTGCACTTCATTATTTTGTAAAAGTTAATTTGCTCTCACATATTATAACCTTTTCACCTTTCTCTTAACGACTTCTGTCCTTTCTTGTCACATGGAATGCCTTTAGGGCAGAGCAATCAGTTCTTTAGAGCGGAGCTTTAAGGCTGTCACATTTCTGCTCTGCTCTTCATCAATCTTTTCATTCATTCATTTTCTTTTCGGCTTAGTCCGGCTTAGTTCGGCTTTATTAATTAGGGGCCACTACAGTGGAATGAACCGCCAACTTATTCAGCATATGTTTTACACAGCAGCTGCCCTTTCAGCCGTAATCCAACACTGGGAAACACCCATGCACTCTTGCATTTACACACATACACTACAGCCAATTTAGCTTATTCAATTCACCTATAGAACATGTGTTTGGACTGTGTGGGAAACCAGAGCACCCGGAGGAAACCCACACCAACATGAAAACTCCACACAGAAATGCCAACTGGACCAGCAAGGGCTAGAACCGGCAACCTTCTTGCTGTGAGGCAATTGTGCTACCCACTGCGCCACCGTGATGCCTCAATCTTTTTTTTTTTTTTTTGTCAAACAATCTAATCGGTTCCAAAAGGACAAAATCTTTCACCTCCCAAAACATTTTTCTAAATTCAGGACAATTTTTAGTGGATGTACGTCTTGATAGAAGAAAAAAAGGACAAACTTAACTTCCGTTTCATGTTGATTTTTTTTAGAAAATGGAAAAATCAAAAAATATATATAATAATGTATATATATTTTATATATATATATATATATATATATATGTACAAATAAAGGCAGCATATTTATTAACATAAGTTTCACAATCAAATAAAAATGGTGACGGTTACTGCAGATTAAATCTGAAATGTTTGTCCAGAAATTTAGCATGTTAAAAAATAAATTTGACCTTATGTTGTGTTAATCGTATTTACACACTGCCTCTGAAACATTTGTCTGTCAAAAAAAAAAATTATATGGTTCTTTTTTTTTTTTTTTATCATTTTTTACATTTGAAAACGCATTTTGAAAGGTGTTTTGAAAATTCAGAGCCACATTACAAGTGAAAGGCAAAATCCAAATTGGCGTCAGAGAAACTTGTTCTGTTTTTTTATTGTATGCTAGTTTGTCGACATCTCCACTATTTGAAGACTCAATTTTGTATTGTTTTGCTAATTATTTCGCAACGGATTTGTGTGAGATATATTATATATATATATTTTTTTTTTTTTTTTTGGGGGAATTTGAATCCAAAAAAAAAAAAAAAAACATATGAAAATTTCAGACTTTAATGTGCAAAAACCTTAATACCTTACTAAGGTTTAATAAATGTTATTAATTTTACTGTTAAAATGAACAATACTACAGCATTTGCTAATGTTAATTGTTTACTACATGTTCTAATGCACTATTAAAATTCAAAGTTATGCTTGTTAACATGACTCTGTGAGTTAACAATAACTAGCAATGAATGATTTTATTTTAATTAACTAACATTAACAGATGAATAAATAAATACTGTAATAAATGTATAGTTTATTGTTTGCTCATGCTAGTGAATACATTAACATTTATAGAACCTTATTGTAGTTACTAGTTTTTCAAAATAAACACCCAAAGAATTAAGAATATAAAATAGTGAACGTATAATCACAGTAATATAAGCATACATCAAAACAACATCAAAACAAGCAAGAACTTTAATATTTCATTTCATATATTTCATTTATGTCAGTTGTCATGTTAAATAAATAATTGAAAGCCAAAGAAGAGTATTGTAACAAGTGGGAAGCTCATATACTATCCTTTAATTATGCAGCTTTTTTATGGTAGCGCTTCTACTTTTTGCATGACATGAAAACACATTTAAAATTCTTCAGGTCATGAAAGCTTCTGAGTTTACAGTATATTTTCAAAATGTTTGCTCGGTCTGGATGTTTAAATCCACATTGAGGACACGATCCTGTCACAAATGCAGATAAACAAACCGACAGAAAGCAGATCAATGTGTTTTCATGCTGAGCGGAATCAGTGTAAGCAGCAGAAATTTAGCTGTGATTGGTTTATGCTTAAGCCTTTTATGACCTCTGATAAAGCAAAACAGGCAAACATTTACTACAATATTTATTCATCAGAGACTGTAACTCTGTCATTTATTAAGATCTTACCTCATACAGATAGTCAAAGAGCTCCAGGATGGTTAAGATACTGGCTCCGATAAACAGCCCCATCTGCCCGCCAATGTCACCTGAAACAGTTTTCAGTCATTAAACCACACACAAACACACTTTCTCCGAGTTTTACAACAAACAGTTAAGGCGAAGTGTCAATTCACAAGCTGCTGTGTGTGTGTATTTGAAGCTGAACGGCTTTATGGCATCTCAGTTCAGTTTCATGTTTAGATTATTGCTAAATCCTTATTAATTGCATCCAAATATAATCGTTTGTGTTTACAATGTTTGTATGTATATTATTTTATCTATATATTATTGCACAGTAATATATATGTGTGTTTGTGTGTATGTATATTTAATATTGTTTATGTCTCCCATGAGCTTGGAGGACTGCATCCATACATCTCTGCAACGACTCGCAAAGAAGCTCTGACTCCCAGAGTTCATCAAGATTCTTGGATTCATCTTCAATGCCTTCTCCTTCATCTTACCCCAGACATGCTCCAATGTTCATCTCTGGTGACTGGGCTGGCCAATCCTGGTGCACCTTGACCTTCTTTGCTTTCAGGAACTTTGAAGTGGTGGCTGAAGTACGAGAAGGAGCGCTATCCTGCTGGAGAATTTACCCTCTCCTGTGGTTTGTAATCTAATGGGTAGGGCCAGACGGAATCTGCGGACATTTTTTGCTATTTCTGCTGAGAATTTTGGTAAAAATCTGCGGATTTCTGCGGAATTATTTTAGGAGTATCCAGCAAGTATCATAACTAAAACCTTAATATATGAAATAAAAAGTAACAAATTACTGAATAAAAATTGAATAAATTCAGATTTACACATTTATTCAAATAAATAAACAGAATTAATGATGTTCTATAAATTGGCAGAAATCTGCGGAATTCTGTGCGCACAGATTCCGTGTGGGCCTACTAATGGGCAGCACAAATGTCTTGATACCTCAGGCTGTGGATTTTGCTATCAACTCTGGAGATCTCTCGCACACCCCTATACTGAATGTAACCCCAAACCATGATTTTTCCTTTACCAAACTTGACTGATTTCTGTAAGAGTTTTGGGTCCATGCGGGTTCCAGTAGGTCTTCTGCAGTATTAGTGATGATGCAGTTCAACAGATGATTCATGTGAAAAATCGACCTTCTGCCACTTTTCCAAATGATTAGCTTAAAGTCAAGTTATTATTTGTTGCTTTTACAACTAGCATCGACGTCAAGTCAGGTAGGGTAGAGAACACAAACTATAAAATAATCTATATGTAGGTATAAACACAAATAATATGTAAATACAAACATTTTTGATACACACCTGTATGTGTCTGTCTATATGTATATAAACACAGTACACACACATATATTATGTAAACAAACTTGTATTTTCGATGTGATGGCGATCATTTGTTTGACAGCACTAGTTTAGAAACGGTTAATCAGTGGTTTGACTTTCTGTAAAAGAGGTCTGGCTTTCTTCGGGGAAATCTATTTTGGTAAACAGTTATTATTTTCCAGGGTTTCCACTGTGAAGAGGCCTCTGGAGTATCAAGCAATCAAATCCTTTCGAGGCTTCGTCTGTTGACATTTGGGGAAACGGGCACTCACCGAGAAGGCCGGCTAACTCGTAGGCTTTCTTCTGCTCGATGGTCTCGTAGTTCAGCGCCTCAAAGAAGATGTCCAGCACCATGATGTTGTCTCTAAAGGGCAGAACGCAAGAGAGAGGTGAGGACGTCCCGAATGCATTAACCCCTCCAACAATCCCAATCCTTCACACCATCGATACGCAATTTCACAGCATTTCATTCTCTAATCTGAAAGCTGACAGTTGATGTGGGGCAATCGGAGAACTCCGGCCTTTTTTTGACACAGCTCTAGTTAGGACTGGGTGGAATAAATTTTCAACCATAATAGTTTTTTTCATATAATCGGGCGCAGACATTGGAATCTTTTTGGCTTGAGATTTCCAGTTTCATTCTCTACCATTGATTTTTAGACATTAAAAACAGCTTGTTAGGCGGCTTGATGATGCAAACTGATATTTTCTCTTTATATTATTCTCCTTTTAGTGTTTAGTCAAAAACTTGTTTATAGAGCAAGCAGTTTGACAATTTTCAGACAGAGGAGCACGTGATATGATTGATCGTGGCTGGTTTCTCATTCATAATCAGCAATAATCCAATCAGATTGATCCAAGCCTACAATAAATAGAACTATTTCCCCCGATTGCCTTATCTTAGTTTGAGAAGGATCCCCCCTTCCACCCCATCTCCTCCTTTTCCTCCTTTTACCAGGGGGAGCTCTTGAGACCTACCTGATCTCGGACCCCCTTACATGCTAATAAATCAGGAGGGAGGGGAGCCCTTGGCTTAATTATCTCGGAGCTCAGGGTTCTCTCCAGGGACAGCATGTTAAACCTGCTCTTAGTGTGAATTCTTGAAATCAATCGTAAAAATGAGCGCACTTCTGTATTGCAGAATAAGGTCAATACCGTGGCATGTAAGTAAGTGGGTGTGGCTAACTCACATGCAGCATCTTTCTCAGGCTCACAATCAATATATTTGATTTAGCCACATCCAGTCATTTACATATCACAGTATACAAACATATTAAAATCTATTATGGTTTAGGAAAACACAGTTTGTCAAAAACATAGTTGTGTGTTTTTATTCATATTTTAAATTTGTGACTCTCGACCAAAAAATGTAATTCTTAAATCATAAGTCTCATATTTTTGGAAAATTTAGATTTTTACATTATCTGAAAGCTGAATAAATAATCTTTCCTATGATGTATGGATGTTGAGAGGTTTTTTAAGGGTTCAAAAAATACTGTGGCATGTAAATGAATGGACGCGGCTAACTCTAACGCAGCATCTTCCTCAGGCTTACACTTGCAGCATGTAAGTTAGCCACGCCCACTCATTTACATATCTCAGTATACACATAATTAAAAAAAACTCATGATTTAGGAAAACACTGAGAATTTGTCAAAATCATCTTCCTCAGGCTCACTGAATGTGAGGTAGCTACACCAACTCATTTACATTGTTGTGTTTATTTATATTTTCAATTTGTGACCACAAAATTTAAATCATAAATCGTAAGTTGTACATTTTTGGTAATTGAGATTTATACATCATCTGACAGATGAATAAATAAGCCTTTCATTGATGTCTGGATGGCAGTTTTGAGGGTTTCAAAAATAGTGTGGCATGTAAATAAGTGGGCATGGCTAACTCACTCGCAGGATCTTCCTCAAGGCTCGCACTCGCTGCATGTGACTTGACCACACTCACTCATTTACAAATCAAAGTATACACAATAAATAAAAAAAAACCCGTATGATTTAGGAAAACACTGAGTTTGTCAAAAACATTGTTGTGGTTTTATTTTTATTCTTTAGATTTGTGACTATTCACTACAAAACATTTAAAATCATAAGTCGTACTTTATTGGAAATTGAGATTTATGCCTGATCTAAAAGCTAAATAAATAAGCTTTTTATTGATGTATGACTGTTAAGGCGTATTTTTTATGGTTCTCAGGCTCAAAATCAATGTATGCGAGCTAGTCACATCCACTCATTTACACATCACAGTATTCAAATGAATAAAAACCTATTATGGTTGAGGAAAACAGAGTTTGTCAAAAACATAGTTGTGTGTTTATATTCATATTTATCGACTATCGATCACAAAATTTAAATCATTTATCTTAAGTCTTGCATTTTTTTGAATATTGAAATTTTTACATTATCTGAAAGCTGAATAATTCAACTTTTCTATGATGTACAGATGTTAGGTGATATTTTGTTTAAATAAATTGAAATATTGGGAAAATCACCTTTATGTTATTTAATTTAAGTTCTTAGTCATGTTATATTAACTGTAGGAAATTTATAAAATATCTTCATGGAACTTGTTTTTTACTTAATACTCTAATAATTTTGGCATAAAAAATTTGGTAACAATTTACAATAAGGTTGTATTAGTTAATGTTAGTTAATGCATTCACTAACATAAACAAACAAAGAGCAATACATTTATTACAGTATTTGTTCATGTTAGTTAACATCAGTTAATGAAAATAAAGTTGTTCATTGTTAATTCATTAACACGGTGAATTAGCTAATGTTAATAAGGCATTAGTAAGTGTTGAACTATGATTACTAAATGTTGTACAAGTATTGTTCATACTTCGTCAATGTTAGTAAATACATTAACTAACATTAACTAATGAAATCTTATTGTAAAGTGTGATGGAAAAATCGTACATTTTGACCAATTTTGCCTATTGACAAAACTATATTCATGGCAACATAATGTTATATAAGAGATTTCTATTTTATTTATCTGCACAATGATGTTAATAGAGAACAGTCTAGAAGAACAAGGTTCGTTCTCACAATTGTGAAACTTGACAGAGTGTAATTTGTTGTCATGGTAACAGTAACCCAAGTTCATATGTCATTTATATTTATCAAGGTCCAGAATGACAGGAAAAACATGAAACAAGATCAAGTCTTTTTCAAACAAGTCCTTTTCATTTCTGAAGCATTTAAGTTCTATTAATGCTTATTTTTCAAAGTTATTATTTTTCAACTAGGATGCCTATTTAAATAACTACTACATCATCAAATACACTCACCGGCCACTATAATATTATTGGTTATTGGACAATAGAAGATTGGAAAAACGCCTGGTTTGATGCGTTTCGATTTCTACTGCCACGTTTGGATGGTAGGGTCAGAATTTGGCATCAACAACATGAAAGCATGGATCCATCCTGCCTAGTGTCAAGGATTCAGGTTGTTGTTAGTGGTGGTGTAATAGTGTGGGGGATGTTTTCTTGGCACACTTTGGGCCCTTTAGTACCATTTGAGCATCGTGTCAATGCCACAGCCCACCTGAGTACTGTTGCTGCCCATGTCCATCTCTTGATGACTTACTGGCTCTTTCAAAGCTGATTAGCCGAAGACTAGTAATGAAGTGCTACTTTAAAACAAACTATTAAAAAAAACTTTCTCCTTTAAAAGCCAGACATTACCTCATCTGGGTTCAAAACCCCAGTCTCTCTGCTTTAGATTAAGTGTACCCATCTTCTGATGGCTACTTCCAGCAGGACAATGCACCATGTCAAGTGTGAATCATCTCAGATTAGTTTCTTGCACATGACAATGAGTTCACTGTACTCAAATGGCCTCCAATGTCACCAGATTTCAATCCAATAAAGCACCTTTAGGATCTTGTGGAATGGGAGATTTGCATCATGGATGTGAAGCCGACAAATCTGCAGCAACTGCGTGATGCTATCATGTCAATATGAACCAAAATCTTTTAGGAATATTTCTAGTACCTTGCTGAATCTATGCCACGAAGGATTAAGGCAGTTCTGAAGGCAAAAGGGGGTTTAACCTGGTACTATAAAGATGTACCTAATAAAGTGGCCGGTGAGTATATCATCATAAGTAAATAAAATAACTCATGCCATACAATAATCTAAATTCAGATTATACCACCCGAGTTACCTCACACAATTTTATTTATATTTATTTTTATTTTATCATGAGTAAGTGGCACTTCAGAGTTTAGATAATATAGCTGTAATTTCCTCAACGTCTTACAAAACTAAATTGAGTTATTAGGCATGTTTTCCACTTATAGTCACGGCAGAAGGTGTGAAGGTTTAATTTTTGTCCCCACTGAATTCCTATTGAGAGTTTAATTAAGCTGCAGACGACAGCTGGAGTGTTTGCCCAAGCTTTTCAAAGCTACCTGCAAGCCAGAAACTCTAAAAAGGTTAGCCTTAATGGTTCTTTCAAAGCAGATTAGCCGAAGAATAGTAATGAAGTGCTACTTTAAAACAAAGTATTAAAAAAAATCTTCCTCCTTTAAAAGCCAGACATTACCTCATCTGGGTTCAAAACCCCAGTCTCTCTGCTTTAGATTCATACATAACCCTATTACTCAAAGACAAGCAGATGATGGCAGATCCGAGATTACGTATGATTCATTTCCTAATATAACAAAAACCAAAGCAGAGATCTGATTTGGAGCCATTTCACTGGATAGTCATCAATATTTTAGAGAAGAAGCGGAAAAAACTAAAGAGAGGCATTCAGCCATTGTGTTCACAAGATTAAATCCCCCCAATTCTCCAGTAACTTCTCTTTTCCATGTGCTGAATGTAAAATACTGCAAATAATTTACAACCGTTCCACATGAGTCTCTTTTCATTTTCTGTACTGCAAACAACGGTTCTTCTCTATTTCGTTCATGGAAATATATGAAAAGGGTTTCATCAAATCTTTGATTGTTACTGTGTTGTACAAATAAGGCTGACGTAACAATTCTGAGATCAACATGAACTCGTAGCACTAAACGCATTAGCTGAAAATGAAAGTTGGTTTATTTCGAGGACAATTTCAGAACATGTTTTTTTCCATTTAGAATAACTTACACCAATAAACCCTTTGCATATTTATCAAGCGTCTGAGCAGTTGACTTGAATAAAATGCTGTGCAAAGTTGGTTCTCTAAAATCTAATTTGTAGTTTAGGTGAAGTGTACACTGTAAAGTGAAAATGTAAACAAATAGCTTAAGATTAACTTGTTGAACTTAATTGGTCACAGTTAAATTAAGTTTTAAAAAATATTATTTTAGGTTTAACAAGTTAAAATGATTTATTTAAGTTGGTCCAATGTTCTTTATTTTGCAGAAATTATTTACTTTTTTGACAAAAAAATTATTGACAATTTTGACTATTCTTATAATATGACTTTAATCTCTTAATCTTACATTTTTTTACGCGGCACTAATACACCACTGTAGTTATTTATATTCAATTAAGTTGAAAAAAAAATATGTGTGTATTTTGTGTGTAACAAGTCATTTGTATATTTGTTATTGTGCTGAAATGTAAAACTTTCAGAAAACAAATAATTTAAAATATCTCCTATCCTCATATTATATTAGATTTTTCTTTCTTTCTTCTTGGAATATGAAGACTTTAATCTCTTAATAATTTGTCTATATATTATGACTTTATTGTCATAATTTTGACTTTATTCTTAAAATATCTTGATTTTGTAATCTTAGATTTTTTATTTAATACTTCATCTTAGTTTTTAGTATTAAATGAAACTAGTCTAAGTAATTCATTTAAGTTTATCCAATGTTTTTCATTTAGCAGAAATATTTGTTATTGCGCTGAAATGCAAAACTTTGTGACATATCAGTCCTAAATAAAGAAGGGGTTAAGCCAAATACACTGAACAGCTCGTTTTGCTAATTTGCTAGCATAACTTGAGGAGCATAATTAAGAAAATTAACATACATTTCGGACCATGTACACTACTATAAGTCATAACAAGTCAAAATTGCATTATTAAGGAAAAAAAACATAAGGAACATTGGTGTACAACTTGCATATTAAAATTTTATTTAAAAATAACGTATGATAGCCCTAAATAAAATGAAACATTTACAGATATAACAATACAGATTCTAAAATGCTCACTAAACACCCTAAAACAGAAAAAGAAATTAAAATCGAAGTGCAGAGCAAACTAAAATTATAGAGGCATTTACTACAAACAAAATGCATTATAACCATTGAGCCTAAACAAATAGATTTAAAGTGAAACTGAAAGTGAAACTAATCAATTGAAATGAAATACATTTCTCTTTTTGTGTAAATATAAATGTATGTGCGCTTTACTCAAGTCTAACTTGCTTGACATTAATTTAGTTGTAAAACTTTCACTTTGAAACATAACTCACAAAGTTTCAGATCATTAAAAAATGAAACGTATTTCAAGAATGTCTTTCTGAACTTCTGTGTTTTAACCTGTGAATTTTGAGAGGTTTAAAAGTGCGATTATGCTTGTTTGGTATGCCCCGAATGCTACGCCCCGCTTGTTTAATTGTCCAGATTGGCAGCTGTTTAGCGGCTCATCAGTAATTAACTGAGATCTTCGTCTGCCCTCATTTAAGATCCAAACAGCCAATCATCTGAGCAGCTCAAAGCCCAGATAACAGCACGGCTGACCTGCAACACTTCACTGCCCTGACAAACATGCCGAGAAATGTCAGGAAACGTCTATACATCCGCAACCAACTGGAACAACACCAATCCTAATTAAGTTTACAGAGCAAGCACTTCTAGCCAATTCTGCACGACTAGGGTTTTGATTGACATACTTTAAGATCTAGTCAGCCTGACCCTATTATGGTTTAGGATGCGTATTTATCATTGAATCATTGCAGTGCTGAGAATCAATACTTTCAAACTGAAATGGAAAGCTCAGACAGAAATCATAATTCTGTAATCATGTGTATGTCCTTCATTTGTTTAAGACCTGTTTGACTTTCTTCTGTTGAACAAAAAAAAAAAAGATATACTGAAGAATGGTGGACAATTGTAGCCATTGACTACTGAAGTAATTTCTTTCCTACTATTGATATCAGTGGATTCCAGCATTCTTCAATACCTTCTTTTGTGTTCAACAAAAAAGAAAGTCATAAAAGTTTGGACCCACTTAAGTGTTGTGTAATGAACTATTCCTAAGTGCAAAAGCAATTAATCAAATCTCTTGAAATCAAACTTTCACATCTCGCATTTAAAACTGGTGCAAAACGTGACACGATTAATTCCCTTCACCAGTTTCAACACAATTTTGAGTTCACTGCAATTTTTGATGACCCATGCCATTGGAAATAACAAAGTTAAGCATGGAAAAGACATGATACATGAATGGCTTCTTACTCTACTCCTCCAGCTCCTTAAATTGCTTAAAAGTTGGCAATTTTTCATCGTCAAATGTGTGTTGAATGTAAACTTCTCTTCGGAATTTGAACAAGCAATGTGAATTTAAATGAGAATATTCTCAAATAAGGACTATAATTTACTCAGTGATGTGGCAGACACAAGTGTGTTTTGCTAGTTTTTTAGACTGACGCAGATATAATTAGCGATTTCCATGCACAGATGTGAATTTATGATTAAACCGGAATGCATAAAACAAAGCAGTGTTTCCATCCAATGAGTCAAAGAGATCAAAATCATCTCTTCACATCACTCTTTGGTATGGTGGCCACAGAGTTTGATGCACTGCCTTTTAAGAAAACAACAGCAAATTAAGAATATGTTGACAGCGGACACCCTGCAAATCCTCACAATGAAAACACAAATAGGAAAAAAACGCAAACAGATAGAAAAACTTGCTGCAAATAATCATAAGACATACACATTATGAAAACACGCTGCAAATCCTCACAGCACATGCACATTTTGATCTGAAAAAAAAAACCCTAATGTACCTGAAGTTAGCACGTTATTTTCATTAGGAAGGCCTACTTAGCCAACTAAAAGGCTACTACTAATAATAATAATACTATTAGCCTGCTAAAAGTGCCTGAATATTTGTTTAAATATTATTCTTATCTGCAATTTATTTTGTCCTCCAATTTGTTTTTAACAATGAAGCATTGTGAATTTATTTTCATCATCTTTAAACTTATATTTAGTTGTCTAATAATGATTTACAGGCAATCGTCAGTTTATCTAGGCTAGTAATGCAAAGGCAATATGTAAGACAAATGTATTAATATGCAAAAACAAAGGAATCATTCAATCAGGTTGTTCAAACAAACAAAAACTCACCTACAACTTCACTGAGCAAAAGTCACTGCACAATAAGCAAATCCCAGCTGGCTCCATCCCTTTTTTCATTTAATCCCCTTGAAATATTTCCATTGTGAACATTTGCAGTGTGAAGATTTTCGATATATCTTTTGACCACAAACAACAGAAGTGTGTCCATTTTTTTCTTGAATTTTTAACCTTTTTATGTCATACAGTTGAAGTTAGAATTATTAGCCCCCTGTATCCCCCCCCAATTTCTGTTTGACAAAATGAAGATTTTTTTCAACACATTTCTAATCAAAATAGTTTTAATAACTCATTAAATAGCTGATTTATTTTATCTTTGCCACGATGACAGCACATTATATTTGACTAGATATTTTTCAAGATACTAGTATTCAGCTTAAAGTGACATTTAAGGCCTAACTGGGTTAACCAGGGAAAGTTGGGTTAGTAGGCAAGTCATTGCAAAAGATGGTTTATTCTGTACTCAAAAAATACTTAAGAGGGCTTATAATAATAATAACAATAATAAAATGGTTTAAAAAAATGTTTTTATTCCAGCCAAAATAAAACAAATAAGACTTTGTGTAGAAGAAAAAATATTATAGGAAATACTGTGAAAATTTCTCTCCTCTGTTAAACATCATTTGGGAAATATTAGAAGAAGAAAAAAAAAATCACAAAAAAATATCACAAGCGGGGTAATTATTTCGACTTAAACTGTACATGATTATTCTGTATGTGTGTTTGTTTACATGCCTACAGCATATACAAAGTTTTGAATCTATACTATAAATAAAAAAGCCAGACTTACGAGATGTACTGCTCAGTCTTGTTGTACTTCTTGGCCAGGTATTTGGCGGAGGCTTTGCTGGGGATCCTGACGAAGGACAACTCTTTGCCATATCGCGTCATGTTGCAGGGTGTCTCGCAGACGCAGTAGTCATTATCTCTCTCCACCAGGAAATCTAAAACCCCAGACAAAAAAAGACAAGAGCGTTTCTCTTAACCTCCGAAATCCTGGTTAAAAAACACGGGGGACAGATGATGAGGTATGAAAAGGCCCAGGGAAGTGGGTGGCGAGGTTAGCGGGGGTCATAAATCGAGCTGTCCGGTCATGGCCTCGGGTTTAGACATGGGTAATGAGGAGCGGATGAGTTCAGCGGGAAAGAAACGGCCTCTAGACTCAAATGTTTCAGGGAGGAGAAGGCAGATTTCTTACCTAGAGCTGGATCCGCACATTCCTTATACTGCTCCGGAGTGCAATATGGAGCATCTCCTAAAGACAAAAACAGAGCAGATGAGCAAAGAAAATGGCTGTGGTTTGAGTTAAGGCTGCACTATATATCGTTTCAGCATGGATATCACAATTCACAATAGTCCCATCACACAATACTGTGTGTGCAATGTAGAGTCTGGATTATAATTGATCATTTGAAAGGGTTTTTAAGACATTTGACTGTATGAGCATTTTAAAAGCATTCAGGCCTGAGAAATTGTACCATTTGTAACTTTAATAACTATTCATTCTATTCAGTTATTTATAAAAACAAAGATTATGTATGCAGTATGATTTTAGATTAGATTTTTTGTTTACTGTACCTGAATACTGTTACAGTTTTCTGTGCTTGTAGATTATTATATTTTATAATAATACTTTATTATATTTAATGTTTAATAATAATAGTATACTAATAGTTTATTTATTTATAGTTTATTATATTTTATCTTATGCAGATGCACTCCCCTGCAGAACCATACCAATCAATCTAAAATTGATTCATTCTTTCCAAATAGAGTGTCACGATCACCTGTGATCTAGGCCTTGCAGATGGCTGAAAACATGCACTATTACCCAAATTCTGCCACTGAAGTGAACTACAAATCCCATTAATCTCTGCAGTCACACACCTGCCCCAGATTCCCCTTGATTGCAAACACACAGCTGAAGCTTGTGAGGACTGATTACCCAGACTATAAACACAGTGCACATACATCTTTGCTGAGCTTGTTATACTGTGAGCATTATGAAGCGTTTCCTTGCCTTGTCTATCTATGTTTTGACCTTTGCTTTCTTTTATTGTTTACGTTGTTTTGCTGACTGTCCTGACTATTCACCTGTACTCTGACTATGCTTTTGGATTATCTGTGTGCTCTTTGAATTACCTGCCTGATGACTCTCTTAATAAACTGCACTAGGATCATCATCATCTCCGTTGTTGTCACCGACTCGGTCCCAGTCATTCCCCTCGCTGGCCAGCAGAGGCCGCCATCGGACTTCGAGCATTACATCCTCCACATAGACTGATTGCGCACACACCTGAACTGAATCTCGGTAATGACCCACGCCACCTATATAAGCCACACTCAAACCACAGTTCAGTGCGAAGTCTTGTTTAGCCCCGGCCAGCATTACTGAGCGTTCTTTCCTGCCTGATCTCCTGTGCATAACCCCGGACTGTTTCTGACTTTGAGTTGCCTTCTGCCTGCCCACGACCCTTGCTTGTTACATGGACTCTGAACCACGCTGCCTGCCCTCGACCCACGCCTGTCATAAGGACTGTGAACCACGCCGCCTGCCACTGATCTATGCCTGGTAAATCACTCTGTGTCTGTCAGCCGCCAGCCCCACGACCTTTATTGATTACTGTTGATGTGTGTTCGCACTGTAGTGCGTGTTGGATGTTTGTGTTTGACTGTGACTAATAAATACTGCAAAATGGATCCCTCCGTGTCAGTCTCCCCGTTACAGTTGTACCCCTGACTAATTACATAGAACTATTCAAGTCATCTGATGAAGTTGTACTCATATCACAATATAGATGAAAAACTAAATATCGCTATGTCAGATTTTTTCCATTATCGCACTGCTTCAGTTATTTTTCATTTAGAATTTGTGTTTCATGACACTTTCTGTGCCACATATGGGATTTTGGATGACTTTGACCAATCACTGAATACATCCGAGTCCTTATTTGAAACAATTCTCTGATCAATTCATGTTGAATGGTCTCTTTTTGAGTAACTTTAAATTTGAGAAATCTTTTTGATAAAAATGTCCAGGTAATGTTAAACCCCAAAACCAAAATAAACAACTTTTTAAATTTAGAAGATTAAGTCTATTTTAGGGTCATTCGCATTTTTTTTTCTTTTATTTGAACATCTTTTTGATCTTTAAGATTATTTTTTTATATGCATTTCCATTCACATTTGTAGTATAACAATTTTTATTTGAATATATTTTTTTACCTTTTTATCTACTTTAATTTGTTTTATTATTTTCTCATTAATTCAAATTAAATTTTGTAGGATAAGTGTTTTTAATTTTTTAAATTTAGATTTTTTACTTTATCATTTTTACATTCTTTTTAAATTCCCTTGAATTAATTTTTACATTTACATAAAATTTTGTAGGATCATTTATTTATTTATTTATTATCTTTTATTTTAACATAGCTTTTATGTTCTCTTTATTTTATAAATTTGTTATTAATTATTTTTTTTTCTTTTTAAGATCTTTTATTTAAAAATAATTAGACATTTATTAAGCTCAGACCCTCATTACTATATTAGTATATTCTTATTGTTCTTACTGTTGATTTTTAGTACATTCTAGTCTATTTTAGGGTCATTCACATAGTTTTTCTTTTATTTAAACATCTTTAATCTTTCTGATTTTTTATATGCATTTAATTCACATTTGTAGTATAATTAATTTATTTGCATATATTTTTTACCTTTTTATCTATTATTTAAACTTATTATTTTCACATTAATTTAAATTAAATTTTGTAGGATAAGTCTTTTTAATTTTTTTTAAATATATATTTTTTACTTTATTATTTTCACATTCTTTTTAATTCCCTCTAATAAATTTTACATTGGCATTAAATTTTGTAAGATTATTTATTTATTTATATATTTTTATTTTAACATTGCTTTTATGTTCTCTTTATTTTATAAATTTGCTGTAAATTAAACATTTTTTCTCTTTAAAACCTTTTATTTAATAATAATTAAACATTTATTAAGCTCAGATCCTCATTACTATATTAGTATATTCTTATTGTTCTTGTTGATTTTTAGTACATTCTTTTTACTGTAGTAAAGTGATGCAAATCTTTATCTTGAACACATAAATTAAACTATTATATTTTTAATAAGTCAGTACATATTACAAAAGAGAAAACAAACAATACTGTACATATTAAAATAAAAAATATTTAATTTTGTTCTTGTGAAATAGTCATTAATTTCTAACCTTTTCTTACCTCAATTTACAGTAATAAATGCATTTTACGTAAGTAAAAAAATGCAAACGAAGTATGTCAATTGAGGCTGCTCTTAATTTATTCTTCTATCAATATAGAGAGAGACGAGATGTTTACATGAGTTTATTACAGTAATGGGAATCTAATGAGAAACATCGTTAAAAATAATTACAAACAAATCCTAAAGTAAAACCTCCACACTCATTACAGAGATGAGAAACGGCCTTGATTGTCATGCAAATAATAGTTATATCAAACCTTAATGATCTTAAAATAGCTGTCCCCATGCATGATGTATATTATTATTATTTTTTGGCTTCAGTACATGTGATTTATCCTTTAGCAGAAAGCTTGAGGATGAAGTACAAAAGGTGTTCGGGAGAGAGAAAGAGAAGAACACAGTGTTCTGGCTAAAGGTGAAGCGTCTGTCTGTTAATTAAAACGTGTTGCCGTCCATCACGCTGTTGTTATCAGCGCTCAAGCTCTCCTCAAAAAATCTGATTTCCTCCTTTAATTAATTCTATTTATTCAGCTCCTGAAGTTTCCCTGAATAGCTCAAGGACTCTTGCGGTGAGGAGAGGAGAGAGGGAAAGAGAGCAAACAATTGATGATACGCCGAGAGAAGAAAATGTGTCTAGACCATATTACAACTAATTAACCAGTTTGCCTAAAAACAAAGCTGGAGATCCTCAACTGCTATAAACAAAATGGTCAACAAGCTGTATCAGTGGATTATAGCATTGATCTGGAGCTTTGCTGATTATAATGGAGGCGTTTTCATGTCCTCTTGAGGGGAGATTGTACAGTGATTCATTGATTAATTTATTTGCATTAATAATTATTAGCCACTTTTATTAAGCTTTGATCTTGAATACTATATTATTAACTGTGGCCATTTTACTGCAAGTTTGCTCTTCTTTCTTATAACATGCTGAAAGATGATACAAGTCAAAATAAGAAATAATTAAAGGGATTGCTCACACAAAAATTTTAATTGTCATTAATTACTCACCCTTCAATAGAAGATGAAGAATGTTGCTAGTAGCCATTGACTTCCATTATATATATTTTTCTACTACTCAGACTCAGACTCAGCTTTATTATCCCGTTAGGGAAACTAAAATTGCAACAAGGTACCATACACAGGCGAAGTTCCATGTACACATTAAAAAATACTACTATACAACATCCATACATCAATATATAGAAACATCCCCCTCCCCCCTGGACTCATTTAATGACCCAATGGCCACCATTATAAAAGAATTTCTGGTTCTATTTGTCCTGCAAATAGGAACCCTAAAACGACGTCCTGATGGCAACAGCTGAAATACAGAGTACAGTGGGTGATCTGGGGTGCATAGGATACCCTGAGCTCTCCTTAGTACATGATTTTGGTAGATTACCATTAGACCAGTCTGATTAAAACCAATGATCTTGCCTGCCACCTTCACCAGGCTGCTCAACCTGTTCTATGGATGTCAATGGACATTGGTGTCCAACACACAAACACACACACATATATGTAACTTACATTATAAATATAATTGTTCGGCAAAGTATATTTGTATGACAAAACAACTACAATTACTTTGCTTCTATGAATTGATTTATACAGAACTGATTAATTAAGTTCAGTATTTATTTAATACTTTTTTGCATTATCACAGTATTTAAGCAAGTATATTGTAAGTAATTGTAATTAATTTACTTACTTGTGGTGTAATGATTTTAATTACTTAAAATGAAAAGTAATCCATTACTTTTTTAGTGGAAAAGTAACTTAACTAGGTACTGTAGCTCATCACACCCAACACTGTTCACAACATTCTTTGTGAAGTTTATTTATAAACTAATTTCGAGAGGAATACGTGCTTATGATTGACCACGGCTGGTCCCGCATTAGCTGATTCACCAATCAGCCCATTCCTAAGTCACTATAAATAACCAGAGTTTCATACCGCAGTTATCTTCGCCTTAAAGAATTCCCCCCTTTCATCCTTACTCC